GCGGCCCCTCTCTCGCCGACGCTCGCGCTGACGCTTGCCCTCGGGCCCGCTGACCCGTCTCACTTCTCTCTCCCCAGGTGGTGCTGGGACACTGGACCATGGGCCTGGGCAGCTGCCCCCGCCTCCTGCACAGCCCCCCGTCCGCGGCGGCCCGCCCCCCAGCCCTGTGTTGAGAGCCCCCCGAGGTAGGGCGTCTGGGGGCCCCCGGCCTTGGAGGGCTGGAGCACGGGAGCTTTATTTTTTGGAAGATGGATTTATCGACGCATAAGACCTGGGGTGCGGGCCAGAGGTGCGGGGGGACAGCGGGGAGCAGAGCAGGCCGCTGGAGAGGTCCCCTGCGAGGGGAGGGGAGGCGGGAGGGTCCGCGCGCCCCGCCCCTCCCCGGCCGCGGGCCCGCCCCCTCACCTCCTTCTGCGTGGTCTTGATGAGCAGGAGGGTGGGCTCGTGCCCCTCGCACTGGAAGTAGAACCTGGGGCAGAGACCACAGGCCGCTGTACAGAGCGCGGACACTGCCCGCTGCTCCCGCGCCAGGGCGGGCAGGGCTTGCTGTCTGCACCTAGACGGTGGCCGGCTTGGCTGGCGCTGCCCAGAGGGCCGGCCTGGACTCCTGGCCATGGACCCCGTCGCGGGAGGCGGCGCGGCCAGGCGGTGGTCTGGGGCTGGGCGCCATCACGGGGTCCGCACAGGCCCCGGGGCTGTGGGCTGGGCCGAGGGGGGCCCGCGTGGCTTGGGAGCAGCGGGGGGCCGGCGGAGGGGCGGGGCGCTACCTGGTCAGGCTGTAGCCGTGCTGCAGCGAGGAGAAGAGCAGGAGCGGCTGGCAGAGCGCGAAGCGCTCCGGGACCCACGACCAGATGTCCCTCATCTCCTTCACGCTGACCACGTCCGAGCGGAAGTTCTCGGCGTGCACAGCCAAGTGCACGAACTGCCTGGGGGAGGGCGCGGCTCAGAGGCGGGGCCAGCTGACCTGCCCCAAGGCGGCTCCTGGAACCAGGTCGGCCCCACCTTGCGGCGGGGGGGCCCAGCCGGCCCCTGTGAGGGAGCACACCGGCCTGGGGCCGGCCGACAGCCGCTGACCTCTAGCAAGTGGGCACAGAGAGCGGCCAGTTCTGGCCAGTCGGCACTTCGGAGCCACCCAAGCACCGGCAGAGCACAGTGGGGGCAGCCCAGCAGCCAGGTGGACAGACACACAGGCGACAGGCAAGACAGGCGGAGGGACAGAGGGCGGCGGGCGGGCGGGCGGCAGTGCCGAAGCCCCGCGGGAGCCGGGAGGGCGGAGCGGCGCTGGGCTCCTACCTTTTAGAGCATGAGACACTGAACGCCAGGAGGAAGCAAAGAGCGCGAGAAGAGGAAGGAGACACGAGGCGTGGTCAGCGGGCCGTGCGAGTGGACACGGCCAGCTGCGGCC